GACCAAGCTTGAAATTTCAAAGTATCAAGATCAAGGTCGTTAAGGCCTGTTCTCTACTAAACTTTAACTGGCATTATACATCATTCATACAGCATGTCCTAACCTGAAATATTTTACTATTGTATGTTACAAACCTTCCACCTTCTTCTCAACCGAAGTACAAAAATATTTAACGATTCTTTTTAATGATTATTCTATGGTATTTCCACTATTACTGACAGCTTTACAGCTGCCAGTTATATTTAAGGCAGGACCGATTTCACAAAACATGCACCATCTAAAAGCATCTAGTCATTCAGACTTCCTTTGTAGTCAACAGAAGGACACACACCTCAAGAAGTTAACTGATCTCAGGCATTTCAAGCACATATATTGCAATTCTTTCGCTTCACAGATAGGATCTTTGGATCAGACACTGAAGCAGGATTACTCTCAAAGTTGAAGTCCAAAACAACAAAGTTTCTACCACAAAAAGAAAATGTGGTTGACATGCAACTGAGACAAAAACGAAACAAAACAAAAAACCAGTTCTTACCTCTCAATGCTTGCTAAGTCATATTAGGGCAAGTCTATATTTTTTAATATGGAAATACATCAGCTCGCTATCCAAAGGACTGAATATGAAATGGCCCCCTTCCTCCCACTTGGAGCTCTACCGACCAATAAACTGACAATAAACTCTGTAGAATTTACAGACTCTAGTCAACCCTAAATATAAGCAGAAATTATTGGGAAATGTCAACCCATAAGTAAGTTAACGGACAAAGAAAGGAAATTTTGCTCTCTCCCCAAACCCACCCAGAGGATCACTCACTGATGTAGCTGATTTGCTTGGAAATCTGTCGTTCTTCCGCCCTTTATAGGACTGATAGGATTTTAAGTTTAGTTTATCAAACATCAGCTGTCTTAACCAACCAAAAACGTTGTTTATTCTTACCAAGGCCTGTCGCCAGTTACAGTTTTTAATTGATTTTTAAGGGCTATCCTAATCTCATAAAGTTTGCAATGTGACCAAAAGCAACTCCAAAATTTATCCATTAAAACTATACTCAGACAAGTTTAAAGTTTAAGATGTAATCAGGTGTGTGCCAGGGAGGGAGGGAGGGAGGGAGAGGGGGTGTTGCTGCTGCTGGTTTGGGATTTTTCAATTAAAACAACAACCGAGATGCAGAAAACGGCTGCTTCTTTCTGCCCCTTCTTTAAACCAGCAAAGAAAAAGAAATAAAGAGACAGCCAACAATTGTACACATATCCAGATAATGTAGTGCTTTATGTTGAAATATAACTGGTTTTTTTTTTTTTTTTGCAAAGAAAGCCTTGCTATTCTCTTTTAGTATCCAAGTCACATGCTGTCACATGTGTGTGACAAACAAAAGCACAGTCTTCAATTATTTAGAATGCCTTTTGAAGTGAAAAAATTGTAGGAAAGCCAAATTCACCTGAACTTTCCAAAACAAATTGAACAAACGCTCAGCATTCACAGGAGTTTAAGGTATGTAATGCCAGAGTATTAAGCTCAGACAATTACTACTGCTCAACTTGCCAACAGTACAGTTCTTTCTATTTCTATAGTCACTAGAAAGTGAGTTTAACCTCCACAGCAATTATTGCACTAAATCATACAAAACAGTAGTGCAAACATTTTAAAACTTTAAACACATGATTTTTCAGAAGTCAGTCCATCCTTTTGCACTAGTAAAATGGAACTCGTTATCTCCTAAGAAGTTTCTTACAATCTATCTATAGCTGTGCCAAACTTTGATCTGAAAAACACATGGAAGTAACCTGGTAACGCTTCATGTTTTTTAGAAAACAGAATCCAAGTTTGCCTCAGTATCAGGAAAAAGACAGCTTGCCTATGTAACTGGGAAGACTTTACACTTGATGATGCTATCCACTTTATATCTTGTAAAACAAGAGCCAGGGCCAAAAAATTAAGCTGCCTGAATTTAAGTTGACTGCCACAAGCTGCAAGCTGTTCAAAGTTTGTTATTTTGCAAAAGATCCGGAGTTTACAGAAAAATCTGCACCTAAAAAGTTGTAGGCACACAGGATGCAATGACTGACCACTGAGCAGATGAAGCATGGCTTGGTGTTACACATTTCAAGCATCGAGATCTGGCGGGAGGATGTTTGACTGCAGCCCCTGGCAGAGCTATTCTTCTGGTACCAGCTGTAAGTTGGGTCTGTGACTCGAGAGACACCAGAGCAGAGTCCAAATGTTTACTTAATGACATGTCTCAGGTTCACACACAGAGGTCTAGTACGGGTGCTGTAAATAAAGCAGTGAACAAACCAGCTTGCTGCCTACTAACCACTTTCAAACCAGGGTATGAAGCAGTTCACTGGATGCCCTTAGAGACATTCTGGAGTCCTGATTGAATGGATCACTGCTCCAACTCCTGTCAAGAGCAATGCGGTCTACTAATAAAAATCTAAGACAGGTCTGGAAAGCAGGAAAGGGAAAACTAAATCCAGTATCTGGAACAAGTGGCTTGAATGGCAGAGTTTCTATACGGAACCTTCTTCCTTAGCATGACCAAGGCCAACAGGTTCCAGAGGCAACGATTAAAGTTTGAGGTAGAAAAATACATTTTCCCTTTGAGAGGAAGAAATGTGAATACGCGCTAGACGCTAGAATACTTGGCACCATGGCAGTCACAGCAGCTGCTACTTGATACAAACAACCCATTATACCCGCATCCGTATCGCATACTGGCCGCTTCCACTGAGTGGGAGAGGCAGCTCTGTTAGGCAAACGTGCAAGTGGTAAGAAGACAGAAGCAAAGCCAAAACGAAGCAGCAACAATTTCACAATTCCCACTGCAAGTGTAGCTCTTCTTCACTGGTAACAATCAGTTTTCAAACCTTCTTAAGTAGAAGTTTTGTAGCGATGGGTATCCAGACCAAAGAAGGTATCCATGCTATTTTTGTCTAATCCTCCCCTCTGCAGGAAGGGATATTTTTGAATAGGAAAGGATGCTAACAGAAAGATTCTAGCAAGGAAAACCTTGAAGATCCTTGACTTGCACTGTGAAGAATAAGACAAAATTCTGTCAGAAACCGACTCCACTGCATACATACTTAGAAGGGAACTGCAGAAAGATCACAAGGACACTACTGAATATTTAAAGCAAATACATGAAGAAGAAATTTTCTGTTATTCTTCCATTTGCTGTCCAGGTAGCATTCAGTCAGGTACCACACCATATGATCCTTTGCCATACTCAGGTTTTGACAGAAAGTCACCTACTGAGATTAAAAGGGTGGAGAATTCAGAAGCTATTTGGGAGACTAACACACTCATGGAAAAATGCAATCAGATGCTTGATTGAGCAATCTGTATTCACAAACACGTTATTAAAGTAATCAGCAAACTTTGTGCAAGGAAGGAATTATCTCAGCAGAGCATGAGGATACCTTGAGCATTTTGTCATCTTCCTGTGGAAATGCAAGCAGGTACCATTTGGGCATGCTTCCGGTTATCAACAGAGATTGAAGCAACACTGGTAACTCCCTTTTGTCTACTGAGAACACCTCAAACGGGAAGTAATTTAGGGATCCCTCTTGTGGCAAATATATTCTGAGAATTACAAAGGCAACAGACATGCAAGAATCAAAAACTCTCCATCAAACTCAAGATAAAGCTTGACAAATTGCTAGACGCACCATGAAGCAACAAGTTTACGAGTGGGAATTAACCAGGTTTACAACTTGGTGTTTGCTTCCAGAACATTGGTGGCAGGACCAATTTGTCAATCCAGTGCAAAGCTGGCCACAAATCAAAGACAGGCACTGCTATCTAGCGCAAAAAGAGAGATATACATTCAGCCAGTCTTCCTGCGATCGGCAGTAAGGGGTCAATGCTTTCTTCTAAATGCTCTCTCTATTCTCTGCAATGGTACAGAGCAAGCTAATTTCCTTATAAATACTTCAGTCAATGAATGGAGATTTTCAGCTGCCTCCATGGCTCCACTCAAGTGTCTGTCTATCCTCATCTAACGGCTTTCTAACTGACCTATCTCCGTTTCCTATAACCCAGACACGACAAGACAAACAGGTCTAAATACCATTTTCAACGGTCAGTTTTAATTGCATCCTATTCTCCACATCTCTTGCCTCTCGCACCCCCCCTATCTGATCAAACATACGTGATATGTTTTCTATCCTTGGACCCGTACAACATACGATTTTCATTTCAATTTCTGGAAGCCAGATACTGCTCCTGTTCAGCTCGTGATGTCAATCTCTACCGCCTAGTCTTTAGTAACAGGATCATAGTGCATTTTTTTTGTGAGGAAAGAGGAGCAGCAACTTTATAACTGAATTTTAAGTCCAGAAGAATCAATGCAAAGTCTAAATTCTAACATCCCTAATGGGTGCTTGTAAACCTAGAGGAGTCCATAATACACTCAGCATAAAGTTCGCACACATTAAACCCTATGCCAAGGTCTATTTTCAACCTGCAGACATAAAATGCATGACCTGAAGCATAAGCTTTCTTTATATAACCCTTATGCTACCTCTGTGTCTACTTTTAATTGTTATTTACCTTGCAATTCATTTTAAGAAGATATTTTTAGCCAAAAAATTACTAACATATAAACATTATTAGACATAACTGTCAAAGTACTATACCTGTTTTACTGACTCAGAATAATCGCTTACAGCCTCTTAACCGGCTTACGTTTTATTGATTTTAAAACAGCACTAAGACAAACGATAATAAAGAAGTACATGAACAGTAACCTCTACCTACAAAATACGGATCTATTTCTGGTTGGAAAGCCAGTCAGCCCCTCCCAGCTAAAATACCTATGGCTTGACTAAGATGTGCAAAAGGCTCACCACGACCTTGCTTTATGAACTGCAGTACTCTGGGCCACCTCTGTCTGTTCCATATCAACCCTGATGACATATGTAGGCATACAACAAGCAGAGAGCCCTGCATGTTACAGCACATATTCCTCAAAGCAGAGCTATGCTTCCTCAGCCCTCACCTGACCAGGTCTCCATGAAGCTGCAGAAAGAGGTTTTCCCTCTCTTCTCCATCGCATATCTCAGATACCGGGGTGTCCACCGTACAAAGGACCAAGCGCAAGTCAGAGGAAGCAGTAACTGCAGAATCTCCTCCATAAACGTATACGCAGCCTCGTCCAACGTCCTCTCTCAGCCAGTCCCTCTCACGGGAACCAAACCGACTCCTGTTCAAGCAGCTTCTGCTCCCATTGCGCTTCACGTTTCTCTGCCAAGGGAGCAAAACAAGACCGTTAGGTGCTACCTCGGCTGCTCTCCCCCTCCGGCAGGCGTGCCGCCCCGGAC